GCTATAAATAGGTGTAATGCGGCCCATTGGGATCATTCTCGAGATATGCTTCCCATTCTTAAGTGAAATCAGTAGGACAGGACATAACTAAACCACAACAGCAAGCTGTAATGATTATAATAGAACTACTTGAGGCGCAGAAAGAAGCGGCTGGGTTAGTACACGCGAAAACCGCGCCGCTACTGCAACTGTGCTAATTGATTTGTTCGTATTATTGGATAGCAGATTAACGGAGTGCAATCGCAATGTTTACATTGAGAACCCATCAGCATGAGTAGCAAGGGCTTTAGTGGGATGAGAAAACTGTCACGTTTAAGGGGACGTATCCTAAGAAGGACCTGATGGCCACATGATTGCTCATCCTTATCAAAACCATTCGTATATCGATAAGATCGGACACTCTTCTTCTGTCTATTACGCTATTCCTCATATGATACAATTCATGAACAAATGTTAAAACCATAATAGTAGTCGATATACCATAGACAGGTGATATATACAGTAGCGGTCAAAAGTGTTCGCCGAAACGATTTTTAGTGCATTATTTTTTCTCGCTTGAGCAACGCCTCCAAAGATTGATATACTATGTTTTCTAGTTTTTATATCCTCAAGTCTTAAAGAATCAGGATATTCAAAAGAAAAATTTTTCGAGGCCACCATTGATTTTTTCTGGCAAAAAAAGAAGCACGGAAAACCGTTTCGGCGAACACTTTTGACCGCTACTGTATATACAATACCCTCCATTTTTCAACGTCAACAAAAAGGCATTGGTTCACAAAATATTCTCCTTTTGAAATAAAAATCATAATGAAGTTAAAAAATGTTTGTACAAAAGTTACGCATAAATTACCATTGTGATATACAAAATCGTGAATGACAAACTGGTGAGGAAATTGCAAAAGTTTAGTGGTCCAAAAGAAATCCACATCAAGGGATTTTGGTCAAGCTCATCCCAATTCGAATGATTTTATCGTAGATATTGGATAAAAACGAGGTTAAATGTAATGATATTTATGTATACTATCACATCTTATACTATGCTGCCGATACATATA